CCACTCCCCCCTCCCCATGACTCGTCATCTGCATTTGACAGGACCCCCGTTCTCCTCTCTTCACCGCCCCTTTTCTTTTGCTTTCTCCCCTTTTCTCTTCCCATAATCCCCCGTTCTCGCTCTCTCCCTGCTAAGTGCAGCTGTTGCTTTCCATTGGATCGTTTTTTTTTTCACCCTGATTGCTAATTAGGATAGCATTTTACTGAGTCTTATCTCAAAAACTTGTTAAACTTGCAGTTTTCCTCCCCCTCCTATTTTTCTTTTTTTTTTTTTTTCCAATTTCTCTTTAATCTGGCAGATCTGAGGAGGAGGGGGGGGGTGAGAAGAGAAAAGACTTAGCCAATTACACATGATTTACATTACAGGCTGAGCATTTTTCCTTAGATAATCTCCAGTGTAGCATTCATATAGTTTACTGCGCTGTGTGGCAGCCTCTTGTTCTGGAGCTCACTTCAGCTTTGAATGCAAAAAAAAAAAAGGAAAAAAAGTCTACTTTTTTAAGAATAGACTGCACGATCTCCCTTATTCTGCTCACAGAACTGAATCCCTGGGAGAAGAAACAGAGGGGAAAAGGAGAGCCTGAGAAAACAGCAATTCACACACCAAACACAGAGAACCCCTAGTAGCTCAACAAATGAGCGACTAGCCCCGCGTCCATTCATGTTGCCCCCTCGGCCCGCAAGCCTATTAGCCAGGCATCGCTCCTCGAACATTCAGCGTCGACAACATGTGGAGGCATCGCTATAGCAACCGGTGGATATGACATGTTCGGTGGACGGGGGGACTCCTGAGCTGCTGAATATAAGGAGGGGCTCAGCCTTAACTAAATGATCGCCAAAAAAAAGAAGAAGAAGAAAAAAATCCCCACCACCTCCCCTGTCTCTTTTCATTGGCACATGGAGGCTGAAAGGACTCACTAGTGGGGCTTCTGCACATTCTTCTGAGGCTCGGAGAATCAGGCGGGCATATCCCACATTCTTCTCGTTTTTTTATTCTCTCCGACTCTTCTGTTTTTTCCTCTTCTTCTTCGTCTTTTTTTTTCTCTGCCCTCTCCATCTACGTGTTGAAGCTGCAGTCTTTTGTTGGCGCTGAGGGGAGGGGGGGCGCATGGGACCCTCGCAGGGGAACTTTTCAGGGAAGCGGACTTGAGTGGGCGGCTGGGGGGACGCACAAACGCTTCTTGGAGCTGCGGCGAGCATCAGTCAGCGGTTCATTCGAGCTCTCTGGAATACAAGAAGACACGGCATCTCTGCAGAGTTCAGTGCAAACGGTCGCTCCGCGCCGCCACATGGATTTAGGTAAATCTTGTTTTATGTCTTGTTTGGTGCCTAAAAGTCTAATTAGATGATGATGATGATGATGATGATGATGATGATGATGATGATGATGATGATGATGAAAGGAAAACGAGGCTGAACTTGGGCGAGTTGCAGAATATTTTAGGAGTTTGTTTCCTTCGATTTTGACATTTCTGCGTGCAAAAGTTGTGGGCAGCAAATCGCCAAAAGCTGAGAGAGCATCGGAAGTAAAGATGCAGGTGTGAGCACATCTGGAGACAAAGTTTCTGCATCTTTGTCCCTGCTTCCAGCAGCTCCAGCTCCTTCACAGAGGAAACAAACAAAGTTTGCAAATTATTTCTGCATGTGTGTATATCTAACCAACACTATTTGCACCCGCTTTCTTTCTTTCTTTCTTTCTTTCTTTCTTTCTTTCTTTCTTTCTTTCTTTCTTTCTTTCTTTCTTTCTTTCTTTCTTTCTTTCTTTCTTTCTTTTTGTTGAGTTTCCACACCTCTTGGGCACAATAGGCTCAACGGAAAGGATTTATGCTGCGTGAATGGAGCTGCTTCATTTCTTTTTTATTCAAATTAATAAGAATTATTTAGAGTTTTAGAGTATTTTAAAAAATAATAATTAAATAGGCCAAACCATATTCGCCATTTTTGTAGGCCTTTTTGAAAAAAAAAATTGGTCTACTTATGACTTTTATTTTTGAAATATTCCACCTGGTCTCTTATTTAATGGCATGACTTCTGTTTTAAATGTAGTCGATTCAGTAAATTCACGTCACGTGGATTTAAGGTGTTTGCAGTTGTGTGTTTCTGATTTTCCTGGACTTAAAGGATAATGTGGTGTGAATGAATGGGCAGCCACCCTGACCTTCCTTTTCATCATTTGAATAATCTCGAGGAGCGAAATCCATCTGGCCCCCCGTCTCCCCTCAGATTCAGCACAGGGCCAGCCTGAATGGAGGGAAAGTGTYTGAGGCAGAGAATCAGTTTGGATGCATTATTGTTGAATCGGGAGGGGAATTTTTTACCTGCTTTAAAATGAATACACACAATTTTTCATCAGGTTTTACAACCTGACTGTAATTCTAAAGCAGTCATTAAAACATCAACATAAAAATATATGTACATTTTTGAAAATGCTAATATTTCATAACTTGTTTTTTCTATTGAGATGGTTGAATTTGCAGGGTTTTATTTCATGATAAAAAAATTGACATTTCATCGCACTGGATTCAAGTTTTACTAAAAACAAATTTTTACAAAAAAATTAAATTAAATGCAAATGATGAAGCCGCAGGACATAACTACAAGAGCCCATCATGGTGATTCTTAGCCTCACATCTCCTTCCCTTTTCCTTCTCTTTGCTTCTCCCTTTTTCTGTCTCTCTCTTCTGATTTCAACACGATTGCCGCCTTCAAACACTCTTTTATGCTCGCATAGAATTTCAAGGCTGTTTGCTCCCACTGTGGTAACGCTTTTCATTCATTTCAAGGTGGATATTTTTTTTCAAGAGTAGCAACAGATAAAAGGCCACATCTGTGATGAACTTGATTATGTGTTGTTTTATTTTTCCGTCAAAGAAAACACATGCTTTGGTTTTTTAGATTTGATTTGGATTTGAACCACTGTGCCGAAATTGTGGTGTTGAATTTGTTGAATATTAAATGAAAAAAATCCCTTTTATTTTAGTTTTACGGCATGATAAGATGTTAATGTTCTAGCAGTGCAAATTGTATTATACCAAGTATTGCTGATTTATTGATCTGATCACCTAATGACGAGTCTGGACGGAGAACATTTTCCCTTCTGTCTGCATTGGGGCCTCTTTGAGTCTCTCTCTTATTTCCTGAACTCTTAATCATTGATTGAAACTACATGCCTGAACCACTGCAGCTGCAATCAAAAAGCAACTGCTGTCAGGCTCAACACAGACCTGTGTCAAAACCACTGGCAATTACCAAGCACAAGGTCAAATCAAACTGTTCCTGGTCTGAGGTGGAGCATCCTGTTTGGTAAATGATAACAAGTTGTAGCCATCCTTCAGCTGGCCTATTAGACTCCTGCTTTTTTTTATTTTATTTTTTTCTTGGGTGGGCTAAATGTCAGAGCTATTCCATTCTTTTTTTAACAGTGTAGATTTGATTCATTCCTCCATCAATCTTTAAATACACAGACAGTTAGGAGCTTGATGATGTTATTGATATTGTTTTGTATCAATTAGGCTCTAGATTTAATTTATCATTACAAGAAATGGAAAAAATACCAAAGCATGAGCTTTTTCTACCTAAAAGCATTTTAGGTTGTGTTTTAAGTCTTTTATAAGAGTTCCTGTTGTATTAACTTACGGTGTGGTTGTTGTTGTTTTTAAAGCATTATCATTCAGCTAGTGGTGAATGTTTAAAGGTCTCTTCTGAACTACCTGTGTCTCCCCAGCCCTGGCCAAAGCTGCTTAATCCTTCCAGCTCCGGWCCAGAGGAGCTAATTAAGCACAAGCTTTTAGCATCCCAGCTTCCTCTAGCTGTGTAGTGCCAGACTGACTCATGCCAGCACTAAATGAGGTTGTAAATATCCAGAGTTGGACACAGCTGAGCCTGAATTCAGATGATATGGTGGCAGTTAGACTGCTGCGTTCTCTTGATTTATTGGCAAAGTAAGGTTTCAGGTGAAAACTACATCAAAGTGGTCACAATGCTTTAAAGAAAGAGAAACATCAGAGTAGCTGTGTTTTCTGCTCTAACAGTGTGTACGCTCTGTGTTTGTGTCCTCCAGAGGGGCAGTCTGACCCAGATCCCGGTGGTGAAGGAGACCCGGGTGGAGTCGGGCCAGTTCCTGCTGCTCTCCATCCTCTGCATGCTCTTCATCYTGGTGGTGCTGGCCGTGTCCGCCACGTTCTTCTGCGTCCGCCAGCACTCCCACCTCCGCATGAAGGAGAAGCTGGCCAGCCTGGGGACTGACACCAGCACCGACGCCACCGCAGCCTATCAGGTTAGGCCAGCCCCCGCCCTGTGGGCCAATCAGAGTCCAGGACACTTAAACTGAGCTCTGCCAWTGGTGGAGCATTCTCCCTCTGTTCAGAGGCAGTGGATTATTTAATTGGTTTAGATTTTGATACAGTTGTAATGTTTCTCAACCACAGAGATATTTTCTTTATAATTCGTTTTATGTGAAGCACATTTATTTATAATTTAGCTTGTTAGTTTGCTGCTCTTTTTAACATTTTTAACAGATGCTTTTTGATCACTGAGTGTGTGTGTGTGTTTGTGTGTGTGTGTGTGTGTGTGTGCGTGCGTGCGTGCGTGCGTGCGTGCGTGTTGGATCGGAAGCATGTTGCCTCCGTGACCTATTCCCTCTGTTCCTCCAAGGCAGCGGGCAGCCTGGTCCGTATTGATTTTCAGGGTTGGGGCTCAGCTGTGCCCAGCGTGCCACTCTGAGCACATTTATCTGCATGTCGCGTTAACATTTTCAATATTTAATCAGGTTTCCACAGGGCTGCGCTGAGAAGCCAGAGGTGTTTCAGCAAAATGAGAAGATGACATTTAATAGAAATACGCAAAATTGAAGATGAATGTCTCTTTTTCTGGCTCTAAAAATCTGATTTTTTTTCTTTTCATTTTTTTTGTCTGCCTCATTTCAAATTAAAAGTTATTTAAGAAATCTTTATATCTGTTGGTTTCCTCTCAGCCTGTTTTCTTTCTAATTATCAGTCTCAAAGAAACGAGCGACAGTGAATTTATAATTCTAAAACCTGAGCTCCACTCTGGGCTCCTCTCCTCTCCGGCTCTCTCCTGGCACTAACTGCTTCCTCCTGCCTTCTGCTGGGAAAAAACCTCTCAGCTCAGGTGTTTTGCTGAGATGCTGTGAGGTGGGATGAGTTATGAGGTGGACCTGGATCGTGCCCCAAGGCCAAGGCCCTGGGCACCGCTTGATGGCTGTAATCGTTAAAGTCTGATAGTGGAAAAGCTGATCCAAGACCAGGGCTTAGACAGGACGGATGTGTGGAGGGCTGTCTGTGCTCTAAAGGGAGATATTACTGTGATTCATCACGAGATAGGGTTTTGCTTTCGTGATGCCCTTTTCTCTGGCCTGCTCTGTCTTCGCTGTCATTATTTGAGTTAGAAAATTAATTCTGCCGAACGAGAGAACCGAAAGAGTCCAACTTGTTTCACAAGCCATGAATTTAAAATACAGATATCAAACACAATCGCAGCTTGTGCGAATAATTATTGTAGATTGCACAAATTTGACAACAGTTTTTTCCCTGCTATTTTACAACAGTACACAGGATTAGCTAATGCCTAGCACTGAGGCATGATGGGAAAAAAAGATGAATCATTAGCACATGTGTATTTTTTTGTGCTTTTAGCAGAAAATTTATAGATATTAAAACAGAAATGCAGGACAGTTCATTATCATTTTATATTTTGTAGAAAAAAATACATTCACTTTTGATTGTTTCTTTTTTATACACACACACACACACACACA